GTCCTGTCCACAATACAATTTCAATGAAAAAACAGAAATATACAAAATGCGAAAATGAATATGCGTATTAATATACATGTAGATCGTAGCCATATATTAAGTAAATCACAACAAATGTATTCCAAAAATATATACATTGCAATACATCATTTTGGCGTTTCATACATAAATATCTAAAAATATCAATTGTGCGCGTTTCATAAAAAATACTAAAAGTACTATAATATTATATTTTTATATTTATATTAAACGCACACAAATTTAATTATTTGTGTCAATTCAATCGTAATCTGTTCGCAGCAGATATTTGCTATTATACACCAGCTTAGCGTGGCAGTCACTGTGAGATGACTTCATGTTTAAATGTTGAATTCTGTTTAAGCCGGTGCTAGGGGGCGTGGACGGTAGATTTCACTTCACAGTATTGACCATGAACAGGCTCAATCAAACAGAGCCTGCAACATTTTTAATTCTGCCGTTTTGGACTTACTTTAGGGATTCTTATTTTCTCTATTGCAGTTACATCTTTCTGTACGTACAGTACTTCTGAATACTGTTTAAACTGATGCTAGGTACATGAGTGGTATTGCATTTTGATTATCTCTCATGAACAGAAGAGATCAAACCGAACCTGCAGTTTTCATTTATTCATGTAGCTTTTGGTGCTCTCTCGGGATATCCCCTTTTCCAAATCATTTTTGATTCGGGCCTATTTACCCATAAGAAGATAGCTCTTAGAGTAAGAACTTAAAATGAATTAATAAAACATCTGTCAAAAATTCATAAATCATTTTTCATCAGTACTTACATAAGGAAATAGATTTGAAAATTTACTTCTTTGACCATAGTCTTGGCAGTACATGTCCATGTACATATCTTTTGTTAGTCATCATTGTATTACTTAAACATTCACAGTTTGCTATTTTACGTTTTAAATGTAGCTAATAAGCATTCAGAGATGGGAATCTGTGTGAAGTAGTCGTTTAAATACAGTATCTGCTGCATAGCCTAATGTGTGCTGCTTGGCTCAGTTCACTACAAACCCTGTGAAACGTTTGACTTTATCAAATTTCACCTGTTATAACCGCGAAACGATCGACATCCAAATTGAAATAATATATACGTTGAGGTTTGAATTATGCTGAAGCTAGAGCAAAAGTGTGTAAATTAGCCCAATTCAAATCTGAAGAAATGGTACCACTGCCCTACCGTGTAAGTATTTTGACTCTGTAGCTGATTTCAATCAAGTATTTGTATTGAGAATTGGTTCCTCGTCCTGTCGTTTTCTATAATTTCGTATTTATCTGGGCTAGGTTTACATTGGCAGATTCAGACCACCCATCCCCACCCCCACCTCGCAGCTCAACCAATATGGAGGCTATTCGTTGCCAAAAATCCAGCCTTGTTGGTCTGAGTTGAACAGTTTGTTAATGGAACAAATACAATTGTATTTCTTTGTATGTAAATTCCAATGTTGCATACTTGCATTGAGTTTGCCGATTTAACATTGTAAACATGCATTTCAACAAAATACATTTTGTTAAACGACAAAACATTAACTGATAGTAGCAATATCAAGTGTTCGAATACTCAAAACAGAAGTTACATTCTTAGCTTTACATTGTCGAACCATCATGATTCAGATCAGCATAATCCAGCTTTACACGTTTTTCAATTGGAGATAAAATAAGCTCCGCCCATTTTCCCGCCCGCTAAATCATCGTAAATAAACGTATTTTCCGCTCATTTTCGGTATTTACCGTCGGCGACAAGAAGCGGCATAGTTTCCGTTTATCATACCTTTTAGGTGTTTAGTTACTAAACATAATTCACTTGCATGATTGTCTACAATCAACATCAGCGGACTTTAAGGGAATATAGGCATATAAGTTTTAAAACGTTGTAGACACCACATTTCCTGGAAAAAGAAACTTAAAAAAACCCCAAAAACACCAGGTTACATACTGTCTGAGGTTAAATATTTTTCAAGGAAGTGAAAACTATTGAAAAGACTATATTCAACGACAAATACATTTTACTGATGGTATTCCAATTTGCATAGGAATGAGTAACATTTACAGTTAAGCTGCTACCTTACCACTTTCAAATTTTCAAGTCAACATCTGATAGCGATTTGGATACGACTAATTACTTATACAGACCAAATTCTGGCTGTTGTCTTTCCTAGTAGTACTATTATATTAGTAACCTTAATTCTAGCGTATGACTTGACAAGAAAAAAACTTTTAACAATAGTAAAATTATAACCAAAGTTGTATGTACCCTTTCGTACATAACTTTTTATTTTTACCATATATTTTCCCATTTTGTTTTTCGGTAAAATTTAAATGAGTCCAAATGTATGTATGTTGATTATCAATTTATGTATACCTTGTTTATTTTATCTCTTAGAAAGCTATCACTTACAAAACTTAATAAATATTCTGTGTAGTATTTCATATACATAAAAGTAGTTCTCTGTTTTTGATCATATAGACAGCAAATCTAGACAGCAAATCTAGGTAACAGCTAATGACAGCATGTATACACATATTTTAGAGGTGCTATTGATTCAGCACAATGCATAAAAAGACCTTAACCTACGCCAGCTTACATATATTTAACAATAAAAGGCTAAATCACATCCTATGACTCAAAATACCTCCCAATGGATGTAAACAGAGTTGCCAGGATACACTGAATATTTATTTCAACATTAAAATGGGACAAATTCACAAGTTTTGGTTAAACAACGGAATTATCGATAGTAAACTTTGCATTGTTTCGTGGTTATACACTTGGTCAAAAATATGAGTTTTTCTACAACCCAACATAGTCCTTTAAAGAAAGAAGGCACAGACTTATTGTTCACTTCTCTCTATTCGTGTTGCCAAAAGTGCCTTCCATGTATCGCATTCTAGTACTATTTGCTGAAGGTAAAAAAAAAAGATATGCTTAAGAGTATTGCCGTCGCTCACAAAACCCTATCATTGATAGCAATGGATAGTGGTGTGTGTCACTATATATGGGAAACATTTCCTTATGTTATTTCACCAACTTTAGTTTTTGCATATTATTATGCTCATTATCAGTATATACGTTGTTACATTTTTACATTATATCTTAACCAATTTTGCATTACTTGAATATTCTGTACTAGAATACGTTTTAACAAAATCAGAGGATGTTCAAAGTCAAGATTGATGTAACAGTTTCTATATAATTTGAAATATTTTTGTACCAGCAAGAGTTACCTCTCTTTATATTCTGCTTTCGTGAAATTGGCTCCGCCTATTAATTTTCGTCTATTTCCGTGATAATTCCATATATGGAAGTTGCAAAATCGTTTACAAATGTTAATCGCGTTAGAATGTAAAAGGAAAGTGTGGTGTTGTAAACCTGAGTGTGTCAAGTTGATGCAGTTACATTCTCAACGTCATGATGCACAGCATTAAACGTATTGTGTACGTTCTATCGTTTACATTTCTACATGTCGCAAATTTGAAATTATACATTTATAAATACAGTTTGCAATTTATCTAAGTTGCATGTTAACAGCTTTCATTTTATCAAATCGAGATAATCAAAATGCTTAATACCAGTGCAGTATGTAACTCTCGGATCGACAATTAGATTTTTACTAATCTGTTTAGTAGAACCGAAGTATGCATTGTCAAGTTTGAAAGACTGGATTTTTGGCAACGAATAGCCTCTATAAACCAAAAGATACGTTTATGACGTATTCAGGGATATATCTACGGAATGCCGTTAGGGCCATTGCCTATGAATGTGTTGATCTGAAACGCGATAGTCGATAGTACGATGGTGAAAACGCGAAATCACGAAACTACGATGGTGAAAATGCGAAAGCACGATGATGAAAACGCGAAAGTACGATGATGAAAACGCGACAGTACGATACTACGATGATGAAAGCGCGATAAACTATCGTGTTTTCACCATCGTACTGTCGCGTTTTCACCATCGTAATTTCGTGATTTCGCGTTTTCATCATCGTACTGTCGTGTTTTCATCATCGTACTATCGCGTTTTCACCATCGTACTATCGCGTTTTCACCATCGTACTATCGCGTTTTCATCATCGTACTGTCGTGTTTTCATCATCGTACTATCGCGTTTTCACCATCGTACTGTCGTGATTTCATCATCGTACTATCGCGTTTTCATCATCGTACTATCGCGTTTTCACCATCGTAGTTTCGGGATTTCGTGTTTTCACCATCGTACTATCGTCTATCGCGTTTCAGATTAACACATTCATAGGCGATGGCCCTAACGGCATTCCGGAATGCCGTTAGGGCCATCGCCTATGGATGGTTTGATCTGAAACGCGATACTCGACAGTACGATGATGAAAACGCGAAATCACGAAACTACGATGGTGAAAACGCGACAGTGCGATGGTGAAAACACGATAGTTTATCGCACTTTCATCATCGTAGTATCGTACTGTCGCGATTTCATCATCGTACTATCGCGTTTTCATCATCGTGCTTTCGCGTTTTCACCATCGTAGTTTCGTGATTTCGCGTTTTCACCATCGTACTATCGACTATCGCGTTTTAGATCAACACATTCATAGGCGATGGCCCTAACGGCATTCCGTATATATCCAGGGATAACTCAAACGGGTGTGATTTCATGATGTAGTTGAGACGGTGTGATAATTCATCAGCAAACTTAATTATATGGGTATATATAATCCAAGCCGGATATTTTCAACTCCTTGTCCTTTCCTGTTTTTGTCCGTTGCTATCAAATAAAGATGATTTCCCGATTATCTAGTCGTTTTTATGGGACGAATCGCGATTTGTACGAAAATTATTGGGACAAAGTAATTATTACGACGTGAATTTATCATGTTTAATTTCGCGCCATAATTGCTTAAAAAATTAAAGGTCGGAGAATCAATGCAAAATGCCGTCAACAAGGAAAAAAAAGGAAGAACCTGTCGAAGTTGATGGCACAATTGATGACGGTGACAAAGAAACGAAGAAGCAACCTTTTGTTGTAAAAGATCCGACGCAGTGGCTTTTCATAGCGAAAGGTATGGAAAGATTGTTTCGAGTCATTTCGGCCCCAGGACGTGTCGGCCCAAAATTACCCAAGACGTTTCGGCCCTTTACCAAATCGGCCCCATATTTAGTTAAGAATAAATCTTACCTTAACGTGTTTATTCCAGAATTTTAATAGCATTTCAATAAATGAATCAATAAAAGGAATGAGATACGATTTTGTAATTGAATGAGACTAAAATAGTTGTATCGTATAAGTACCTAATCTCACACCCAACCTATTCTCAAACCTTTCATTCATGTGCTGTTATTTTTTTACTAGAAGTGACTATGATGTCCTGAACTTGTGTCCATAAAAGCTTAGTTTCTGACAGACATGTCTGCTGATGTCAAATGAAAACAGTGCATAGGAACAAATATTTACATAACATATTTTATTACATAGTGTAATTTCATACAAATTGCTATTACCTTTGTAAGTCCCATAGATACACCATTAACTATTTGTGAAAATGAATATTGTAGACAAAAATATCTTAAAGCAGGTACCTGCATCCTGTAGAGTACTTCATTGTCATGTGATAGGCATATAACAATCACTTCGTTGGCTAAACTAAACAGTAGAATTTTAGAGATACTTGAAGGCAGAGATCTGCCAAGAATTTGAAAGTACTGGGCCCTGGGCCCACTTGGTCTGAAAATGATGGGCCATTTTTACCAAAGTATGGGCCTTGGGAAAATAAGTAAACATTGACCAAAATAACTGTTAAAAAGTTTGTAGATACATGTAATTGAATTTCCCAGGTAATAAAACTTAAATCATATTTTATGACAAGTGGTTCACTTATAATTCAGTACTTTACCAATAATTAAAAAATTATGCCTACATGGTAACTTTAACAAATATTAATTGCAAGCAAAAATGAAAATATTTTATTAATGGCTGCTCAAAAAAATTTGATATGCAAATTTATTCACATAATTGCTGGTTCTACTTGTAATGTCTTATATTGTGCATTATCCATTTAATTGTTCTACTTTGCACCAAATGTCCCTTACCACTGTATATTGACGAATTTTATTGCCCCTTGTATGCCTCTGTGTAGACAGCATACATCAAGACATTTGCCGACAGACCTTTTGATCATGAAAAAAGTCATGCACAATGTTTCTCTGATTGGTTAATCACCCTGTCAAACATTCTGATGACGAAATATACATCTTTTTTTACACTTCATCAGCCAAAACTTGCGTGAACTTGAGTGACCTTAGGGTTGATCAAGTTGAACACCTGTCAGATTATACTGTAACTTACAGCATTTCTTAAAAATAGCAACACTTTTTTTTCAGTTACCGATAATCATTTTAAATATTAAGTAGTTGTATAATTTGTTTGTTTGTTTTATTGATTAAATTTACGGTAGTAGAAATGAGTATCTGTGTGGGAAAGGGATTGTGAGAAGAAATGCGGTAAGTAGATAACATGGACAAAAAGCTATAGGGGAATGGATAAACTTAAAAATATGCGGTATTACAGGAGCATGGGTAACATGTTGCTGTTGGTACCAGTTTTGACTGGATGACTAAATAACCCAGCAGCCAGTTTTGTTTTCTTATAAGTCTGGCACAGATTTAAGATGCGCCCATGGCCCTTTGCTGCCGATTTTCCTGCGCCATTCTCATTTTTTTAGCGCCAATGGCGCAAAATCGCGTCCTCGGCAGATGTCTGTGAAGGGGTTTGAGATTAGGTTCTTTATTTTAAGAGGCCATGTTAGTTTTATAACAGAGGGTTGTGCTTTTCCAAGATGGAAATAGAGCTTTTTTAATAGTTGAATTTCAGTCAAATTTTACAGAAATGTTACATAAAGATTAAAGTGTACATATGTAAAGAATTTTTATAAAGATATATTTTTATTTACATTAAAAGACCTCTTGAATGCTTAGAGGTTTGAGAACTGGTTAGTCCACGATAATATAAACAGATAAACAAGGAAGTGGCTAGCCGTACGGGCCCGTACGGCTAGGCAAAAGGTCTAGTCGTATGTGAGTCACGTATCGCTAGCCAGGGCACATTGTATTGTCTAGCCGTACGGCATTTTTTCAAAATTATATGAATGTCGAAAATGTGTATATTATTTTGTATCTTTTAAACAGGTATTTTATCCAAAAATCCGCATTTGTCCACTTTTAATGCTCCACCATTTTGTCAAAAAAAAAAAAGAATACGATGGAAATACAAGCGTTGTCATCTTGATAAAAGTGTCAAAGTTACATGACGCATAATTATTCAAAGTACTTTCGTTGTATATGTGTATGAAAAGTTATATTTATGATTGAATAATAACTATTTAAGTTATAATTAACGTTGTGTTTTTAGCTCACCTGTCACAAAGTGACAGGGTGAGCTTTTGTGATCGCTTTTCGTCCGGCGTCCGTCCGTCCGTCGTCCGTCCGTCCGTCCGTCCGTAAACTTTTACTTTAAATGACATCTCCTCATAAACCACTAAGCCAATTTCATCCAAACTTCACAGGAATGTTCCTTTGGTGGTCACCTTTAAAAAATTGTTCAAAGAATTTAATTCCATGCAGAAACTCTGGTTGCCATGGCAACCAAAAAAAAAACTTTAAATATCTTCTTTTAAAAAACCATAAGAGCTAGAGCTTAGATATTTGGCATGAAACATCTTCTAGTGAGTGTCTACCAAGTTTGTTCAAATAAAAGCCCTGGGGTCAAAATTGCCCCGCCCCGGGGGTCATTGATTTTCCCTATACATTGTATGCATATAGTAAAAACTTAAAAAATCTTCTTGTAAAGAACCCAAAGAGCTAGAGCTAAGATATTTAGCATGAAACATGTTCTAATGGGTGTCTACCAAGTTTGTTCAAATAAAAGCCCTGGGGTGAAAATTGGCCCCGCCCCGGGGTCATTTGATTTTCCCTATATGCATATAGTAAAAACTTAAAAAAATCTTCTTTTTAAAGAACTTAAAAGAGCTAGAGCTTAGATATTTGGCATGAAACATCTTTCTAGTGAGTGTCTACCAAGTTTGTTCAAATAAAAGCCCTGGGGGTCAAAATTGGCCCCGCCCCGGGGTCATTGATTTTACCTATATGCATATAGTAAAAACTTAAAAAATCTTCTTTTAAAGAACCCAAAGAGCTAGAGCTTAGATATTTAGCATGAAACATGTTCTAATGGGTGTCTACCAAGTTTGTTCAAATAAAAGCCCTGGGTTGAAAATTTGCCCCGCCCCGGGGTCATTGATTTTTCCCTATATGCATATAGTAAAAACTTAAAAATCTTCTTTTATAGAACTCAAAGAGCTAGAGCTTAAATATTTGGCATGAAACATCTTCTAGTGTGTGTCTACCAAGTTTGTTCAAATAAAGGCCCTGGGGTCAAAATTGGCCCCGCCCGGGGGGTCATTGATTTTCCCTATATGCATATAGTAAAAACTTAAAAAATCTTCTTGTAAAGAACCCAAAGAGCTAGAGCTAAGATATTTAGCATGAAACATGTTCTAATGGGTGTCTACCAAGTTTGTTCAAATAAAAGCCCCTGGGGTGAAAATTGGCCCCGCCCCGGGGGTCATGATTTTCCCTATATGCATATAGTAAAAACTTAAAAAATCTTCTTTTAAAGAACTCAAAGAGCTATGGCTAAGATATTGAGCATCAAACATGTTCTAAAAAGTTTCTACCAAGTTTGTTCAAATACAAGCCCAGGGGTCAAAATTGGCCCCGCCCCGGGGGTCATTGATTTTCTTTATATGTGTTTAGCAAAAACTTTAAATCTTCTTTGAAAAAACCAAATAGCTAGAGTTTAGATATTAAGCATGAAACATCTTCTAGTAAGTGTCTACAAAGATTGTTCAAATAAAAGCCCTGGGTCAAAACTGGCCCGGCCCCAGGGGTGTCATTGTTTTAACTATATGTGTATAGTAAAAAAACTTTAAAAAAAAAACTTCTTTTAAAAGCCCAATGAGCTAGAGCTTAAATGTTTAGCATGAAAACATCTTCTTATGGGTGTCTACCAAGTTTGTGCAAATAAAAGCCCTTGGGTTTAAATTGGCTCTGCAACGTTGGGGGGGGGGGGGTGGGGGGCCTATATACAGGTGAGCGACCTCAGGGCCATCATGGCCCTCTTGTTTATGCTTATGATTTATTGTTTTATTTGTATGAAAGTAAATTATTTAATCATTTTTTGTTAGCTCACCTGTCACAAAGTGACAGGGTGAGCTTTTGCGATCGCTTTTCGTCCGGCTTCCGTCGGTCCGTCCGTCCGTAAACTTTTACTTTAAATGACATCTACTCATAAACCACCAAGCCAATTTCATCCAAACCTCACAGGAATGTTCCTTTGGTGGTCACCTTTAAAAATTGTTCAAAGAATTTAATTCCATGCAGAACTCTGGTTGCCATGGCAACCGAAAGAAAAAACTTTAAATATCTTCTTTTAAAAAACCCTAAGAGCTAGAGCTTAGATATTTGGCATGAAACATTTTCTAGTGAGTGTCTACCAAGTTTGTTCAAATAAAAGCCCTGGGGTCCATATTGGCCCCGTCCCAGGGGGTCATTGATTTTCCCTATATGCATATAGTAAAAACTTAAAAAATCTTCTTTTAAAGAACCCAAAGAGCTAGAGCTAAGATATTTAGCATGAAACATCTTCTAATGAGTGTCTACCAAGTTTGTTCAAATAAAAGCCCCGGGGTCAAAATTGGCCCCGCCCCAGGGGGTCATTGATTTACCCTATATGCATATATAGTAAAAACTTGAAAAAATCTTCTTTTAAAGAACTCAAAGAGCTAGAGCTAAGATATTTAGCATGAAACATCTTCTAATGAGTGTCTACCAAGTTTGTTCAAATAAAAGCCCTAGGGTCAAAATTGGCCCAGCCCTGGGGGTCATTGATTTTCTTTATATGTGTATAGCAAAAACTTAAAAATCTTCTTTGAAAAAACCCAAATAGCTAGAGTTTAGATATTAAGCATGAAACATTTTCTAGTAAGTGTCTATAAAGTTTGTTCAAATGAAAGCCCTGGGGTCAAAATTGGCCCCGCCCCAGGGGTGTCATTTATTCACTATATGTGTATTGTAAAAACTTTAAAAATCTGCTTTTAAGAAACCCAATGAGCTAGAGCTTAGATGTTTAGCATGAAACATCTTCTTATGGGTGTCTACCAAGTTTGTTAAATAAAAGCCCTTGGGTTGAAATTGGCCCTGTCAGGGGGGGGGGGGCTATATACAGGTGAGCGACTTCAGGGCCATCATGGCCCTCTTGTTAATTAAACACATCATATAATATGGAATAAATAATCATATATATCACGGATTTATATTAATCTATATAACGGCCAAATCAAAATCATTTAGCCTAAATTAAAAGTGCGCTTCACGGAACATGCAAACTTTCCTTTAAAACTGTCAGTAATTGATTATTAGAGTCCAACAATAAATATTTTCAGTGTTAATTGTTTTTCATTTTAAATAAAGATGTTGAGATTTAAACCTATTGAAACAAAAAGGATTATTATAATAATGATCGATGTAAACGATTACAACTCTTTTTTCCCGTCGTCTGGAGATGACAAAGATCGATATTTGTACTTTCTTTACTGTAGCCAACATGGCAATTTATCTCTAAAAGTAAAAAAAAAACGAAAAGAATAGCTGTTTCTTGATTATAATCCTCGCTTAACGACATAAAATAACATACTGTATGCATTTTTTACTTTGAAAAGTGCCGTACGGCTAGACCATTCAGTGTGTCCTGGCTAGCCGTACGTGACTCACGTACGGCTAGAACTTTTGCCTAGCCGTACGGCTAGCCACTTCCTATAAACAAACAAAACAGAACAAATTTTATTAAACAAAACATAGTACACGAACACTGAAACAGATTTGTATCTGCTTATTATCATTAAGCATTTTTTTAATTTGAACGATTAAAAGCAAGACACTGAACTAGACATGAGACAAACATTTAATATGAAATTAGGCAAAGCCTATGAATGGGGAAGTCAGTTAATTTTTCCGTTTTAAAGGTGTCATTCGCTTCCGTTTTCACTCGGAATACTCGACGATTATTATTTATCCGAAAAGATGCGATTGTCCCATTATCGGAATCTCCTGCCTATTATCATTGAAAATGGCGCCGTTATAGAACTGACACTGAAAATTTCATTGATAGGTATATAATTCTATGTATTCTTTAATTGTTTTTTATTTGATTTTCTTTCAAATATACACATGTAGTCTATAGCCGGGCAAGCCAAAGCCAAACAACACATAACAGTCAAAAATTATACTTGTACTAACAAAAAAAAACATATATGTAAATATTTAAATAGCTGTAAAATGATAGAGATCAAAAGATAATGATTTTTAGGGTATAATAAATTAATAATATATTGTAATTAACTTTGTTAATCAAAAAGTTTTTGCAGTTTGTCAACTGTCTTATAAATTAAGGATTAAGTGTCTATTTATTGTTACTTCTTGAAAAAAAAAAGCATTTATCTAAATAGTTAAATTTAGAGATCGATTATGGATTATTAATAAAGGATTAAAGTGTGGTAATTGTTTGTGTGCCATCAATCAATTAATAGACAAAAAATGTTAACGATTTTAAGTATAAAAATTCCTTTAATACTTTAATAAAACTAATAAAAAAGGGCTGAAACGTCTAGGGGCCGATTTTTGCACAGGGGCCGATTTGGTTTGGGGCCGAAACGTCCTGTTTGCGAAAGATTTGTCTACAATTTATTCGTACCAGAAGTCATAACCCATAATTTGTAACCAGATAGATTTAACAGGCTGGTGAAAATGCCCGATCGGGCTTATGACAAAAAAAATCAGATTTCTAGAAAAATAATGAAGAGATTTCTTTAAAACTTTGTTTGTTGATTGAGCATAATGTATAACATAAACAGAAAGAAAAATATTTGGTAACTGTCACTCTTGTGAGAATTATTTCCCCTTTTTCATGTTCATATAACACATTATTTTCCAAGTCTTTAAAAAGGATGTTACATATACAAAGTATAAAACAAAATAAGTTAAATAACTTCTTTATCTGTTTATGATCCAATTCATTGCACCGACACCTGTCTCAGTGTTCAATCTAGAACAAATTCCCAGGGGGCCCTTCGGGCCCATAAACTTTTCAAAAGGGGGTCATTTTAGAAAAAAGGGGGCCCACACTTAAAATGAACATCAAATTCAAATAAGCTATTGTATCTTTTAAGTTACTTGTTCACGTACCATATTTAGACCAAAAACGGTTGCAAAATTCCAAAACAACTCAACTAAAAAAAATGACATTAGCGTTGATACAGGCTCAAATTTAAGAACTGATTGGTAAAGAAACGCGATGACATAATGTTCAAAGAAAAATATGAATCTTATTTTAATGTTACCAGGGATATTTGACAATAATGTTCAGTTTTTTAATCAGCGCCCGATATATAAAGGAAAATCATATTTTGAAATTAGCTTTGTTTATGAAGAATATAAACTTACAATAGTCGCTAAAAACATTTACTCTTCTCAATATATCCAAGCGAAAAACAAAGTGTCAACAGGTGCTAAGACAATGTATATTGACATACCGGTACCTTTGATCTTTTGTCAGGGCAGCAGTTCTTACGTCACGCTTAAGATGTCTGTATTGATTAATGATATGCATGTTTTAGCGACGACCAGCCAAAGACCAATCAAAGTTAATTTACTTAATTGTCAGACACTCCCTAGCCAATCGTGTTTGATTGCTCCATCTTTAAGACATTTTTAATTGGATGAAGGCGTGTTCGTATTAATTTATGCACACTTCTCTATAATTAACTCGCATTTTCACATACATATATATTTTTTTTCCTTTGGAAAGTTATTACATATTTATTTGTTTTGACCGTGAAAAAACTATAACTACACGCACGTATTGGATTATCTGTGACGATTTGTTTTGCTTATAAAAACTGTGACTCAAAAGTAAGTAATAGTTACGGTACGAACAGGTCTACATAGTATTTACAGACGCGGACCGAGAGAGCGTAGCGATTAAGGTTTTAAATGGGTTACCGAGTGCGGTAAACTATCTTACCAACATGCTCTTGTTTTTCAATACAAACTTCAGTTTTGAATTCAGTATTTATTAATATTATTCACAAAAAACTTCTTTTATGTACTCAATCAGGTTTTAGAAAGCATTCTAATGTCATTTAGGGCATTTTCTATGAGTGCGCCCATCGGGCCCACAGTTGATTTTGTTTTGCGCCGGCGGCCTTTTCAGGGGGTCAATGGCGCAATGGCGCGCTCTAGATTGAACACTGCCTGTCTGCATACATTTCATTCTGTTTTCAAAGGAAACTTCAAAGTATAATGTTCACTGTCAAAGAATTGTCAAAGTATTTATGCCAGAAACAGAATATTAAATCCAAAGATATAGAATAAAAAGGTACTGCCGCAATAATTTTGAGCAAAATGAAGATGTTGGACACATTTATGTTAAGAATTTTACATTGCAAATTTGCAACATATGTTTTAAGGATTACATAAATTATGTGCATATAAACATGAAAAAAGGGGAAATAATTCTCACAAAAGTGACAGTAACCAATTATTTTTCTTTCTGTTTATGTCATATATTATGCTTGAAATAAACAATAATAGTTTAAAAGAAATATCTTTATTATTTTTCTAGAAATATGATTGATATGTCATAAGTCAGATCAGGGCGTCTGTCTCCGAGTGGTTAAGGTCGTTGACTTGAAACCACTTGCCCCACACCGCTGTGGGTTCGAATCCCAACAGGGACTTTGGATTCTTTCATGTGAGGAAGCTATCCAGCTAGCTTATGGAACGTCGGTGGTTCTACTCAGGTGCCCGTTCGTGCCTGAAACAATGCACGGAGGGGCACCTGAGGTCTTCCTCCACCAGTAAAGCTGGAACGTCACGATATGACCTATACTGTGTCGATGTGACGTTAAACACAAAACAAAACAAAAAAAATCATAAGTCCGATCGGGCATTTTCACCAGCCTGTTTAAACGGAATAAATCATATGCTTAAATCATAAAATGGTAAACGAAGTTTGTAATTAACTTAATAAACTCTAATTATACAAATTATTTATTCATCAAATACAATCAATGTCTAATATGAAATTAGGCAAAGCCTTGGTCCTAAAAACTGGTTTTTGTTGCATTGTGGTGCTACTTGTTCATTCATTCACTCATTCATTCTTATTTATTTTTTGTTTTTGTTTATTTTACAGATGAGGTTATTAAGCCAGATCCAAACACAAATCCTGAATCAATTGTATGTGGACTTAAACATCCTAGAACAGGTGTGTGTATAAAGTACTCAGTAACTCTTTAACATGCTCATCAAGTAGCTAGTTAATAAGTTTATCCTTAAAATTAGGAATGTAAAAAGATGCATTTATTAAGGTACAGAATGTTTACATTTTTAATTTGTCATTGATATTTTACGTTGTTCCATCATGATGTACATGTATTAATTAACAGAAAGTAAGACATCATTCTAGTCTAGTTACGGTTCTAATTAGGTCTAAAAATTACAATGCTGATGTTTAAAACCCCATTAAACTCAAAAATATGCTGTTATTTTCAGTTTTCAAAAAACTTATTATGTCTCCAAATGAAATACATAGATTACACTCATAAGGAAAAATTTTTCGCAGAATTAACTTCATATGTATTGTTGGATAGAATGTCATAGATCAGATGCATATTTGAATAGCACTGTAGGATTAAGTCATTATTTCAATCATTATTACAGAGTCTGATGTAATTTGCTCATAAAGAAAGTTAATATTGAAAATTTATAAATTTCATTCATGATCACAGTATCATTGTGTAATATGCCCAGTATAAGTCAAACTTTTAACTCCTGAATTCATGTAAATGATTTGCATACTTTGAGTTAATTTGAAACTGTCCATTCAGTGTTTAAGGGTTTTTGATGTAGAAGAACATTTGAGAGCCTGGTCAGACTGCAGGGTAGTGCAGGCTGGATTGGCTTTATATTGGCCATTGGTGGCAAAGGCTAATCACTTTCGGTTCCAGAGTAGGTAAAGGGTAAAAATCTGTACAGTAATAAGGTAGTAATACTTTAATAGTACTTGTAATTATGTTTGTTTCAGGGCAGAGATGTTTGTTTTTATTTAGCAATGAAGACAAAGATATTTATGAGATAGTTCAGTTTAAAGAAGAATTTAGATCCTGGTTTATTGGGGAAACAGTTCAACATGGTGAGTAATGAACATGTTTGCTATGTCAATTTTGATTGGTTCATTAGGTATTTTGAGTAGAATGAAGATTTAATAAGTATAATATAAAATCGTGGCCGAGTGGTAAAGGTCGTTGACTTCAAACCACTTGTACCTCACCGCTGTGGGTTCGAATCCCTTAAGGGAGTTTGGATTCTTTCATGTGAGGAAACTATCCAGCTAGGATAAGGAACGTCGGTGGTTCTACTCAGGTGCCCATTCGTGCCTGAAATAATGCACGGAAGGGCACCTAAAGTCTTCCTCCACCAGTAAAGCTGGAATGTTGCAATATGACCTATACTGTGTCAATGTAACGTAAAACCCAAAACAAAACAAAACAAAACAAAAATATTAATATAAAATATCTTCCACCACAAATGAATAATAATTATAATAACTTCAAAATTATAATGAATTCATAAAAATACATGAGAGTTAACATAAAATTTTGGTGCATTTTGACCAAAATGTTATGTTTTAGTGGAAGACAGGTCATTGTGTGGCTGTTTGATTAATGTACTAGTAATTTAAGTATCTTGTCAAATGGGTTCAAACCATGTCAGGGGCAAACTGTTGTTTCTGCAAGAAAGAAACTTTTCCCATATTGATGAGAACTGGATGGTTTAAGGAATGGATTCGAAAGTGTGTTTATAAGCTTATAGCGTCCTGTGATAAATTTTGTATTAACTAAACTAAAAAAGCTCGTAAGAACATTATATGTTTTTACTAGGGCCGGGAATTATTTTCGAATATTCGAAACACTACCGAATATTCGAACATTGAAAAACGAATACGAATATTCGAAAAAAAGGGAGAAATGTTTTTTTAGTCATTACTTTCAAATTTCAATTAAGATCGTAAAAGTAATCCCTTGACCTTCACTTGACCAGGTGTTCATATGTTTGTATAACGCATGTCAACAATTATCGCCAATTAACTGTGAAAACTTTGGAGTCTAATTGATCAAAGGGCACCCGTTTAACAGTTTGCAATTTACCTGTTTAACATTTTATTATGTAAATTAATCCGATTTTAATTATGTCATATATTTTTTTCTGTGTATAAAATTTCCGATTAATCAATGTATTGAATTTTGTGAAGAGGAATAAATCGGAACGCATTGATCGACGCGTTATGTCTTAATTCCGTCATAATATATTTATTCCATAGATGATATTTACTGCGTTATAGCTAAATTTATTTTAAGAATATTTTAAACCTTATCTAAAATTATAAATAAATAAATATTTAATAATTTAAGTTAAGTTTCAATATATTTATGTTTAATTGGGGCTAAGAAGCTACGATGATTCATATTACTGTCAGTCAAGTCACGTGAGTTACCTCCCGTTTATAAGACAGTGGTCGGATTAACTAAACAAAAGACAATCAAATTATGAATTCATTTCAAAAGTAAACATGTATATCGATTAACAATGTATAAAATAATAATGATAATAAAAAACTTTGACACAGCAATAAAGGTCTTTTAAATCGTCGATTATTCCAAGCATATTAAAGTAGTATAGTATTCGACGCAATCAATTTCGGATACGTATACGTCAAAGATAGATATTGGAACAAATGTTGTAAAAACGAATATTCGAATATATTTGAATATGGAAAACGAATATTCGAACATCCAATTCATTATTTGTTCCCAGCCCTAGTTTTTACTATTTGTAAAGTTGAGTTAATAATTGCTCATTTAATAATGCTTATGGACTGTCAGTGGTGCCCACTCCTGTCTAAAATAATATACAGAGGCTCACATGTCATGTGGTCTTTATCAACCAGTAATGCTGAAAGCTCCCAAAAATGTTCGGCCTTGATTATGTTTGGTGTTACTTAAAATCAGATGAAAAACAATCATTTAATTTCCTTGTATCATTTTTCAGATGGCAGTTTATATATAACTACACCTGTAGATCCAGTGTTCCTTATTTTACCATACCTCATACAAGCTGCTAAGGTAAGATCATAAACACTTACTACTGTAAAAAGTATTAATAATAATGCAATACACAATTATACAATTAAGATATAATATGTTAATCAAGATTTTTTGAGAGTTGTCAGATGTTGCCAACAATTTTTACCATTTGATTTTGTTATGAATATGTCAGTCCATGACTTGTCAATGTTGAAAATATTTGTAAATATTCATTGAACAATAAGTAGAAATTCATTATGTGCACTAGCAGTGGACTAGGTAATTTGGTAATTTCACGGTAAGCATTATATATCAGAATGGTACCCCATAATAATGCAGTATTGAGATCTTGGAGCCCAACGTGAGCGATATAACAGGGACTTAGTGTATTGTAACAAGTTATGTAATGGGAAATCATTCAAATCATTTTATTGCTACTAATTACCAAAGTATTAAAGTAGAATAATTTGTTTGATATGTTACAGTCAGAAAAGTTTATGACATTAGATCAGATAGTGATAGATGAAGATTACCCAGAATGCCGCAGGTTACAGTCTTGTTGTCAACCAGATCATCTGGAGAATGTATCGGATGTCAAAGGTAAAAGGATTGCTTTAGATGACATTGATTAACAGGTTAACCCAGTACTTGATCGAACAAAGCGACACACCCATGGGATTGAACGCCTGCGTCGCTAACGTCAGTTGGCCTCTATGATATTTAATTACCTTCAATTGTGCATTAATTAAAACATTGTAAAATAAAATGTTGTTGATTTAATTTTAATTGATTTGTTTATTGGTTATTCTAAGTTACTTCCCTTGCAGTCCTATTTATAGTTGTGAATTCTATAAATTTAAATAGAAAACGAAAGTAGCATGCGGACGGTGTTGATATTGTGTGATAAATCTTTGAAGATCATTGGAAATCATCCAAGTAACCAAGTACTTGATCGGAAAAATGACCCAGTACTCGAGTATAAGTTTTGGTATTTGTTGCCATCCCTTCTTTAGACAGTATACTCTAGTGGCCACACTTTTTGACTACAAACCTTGGGTCATGAGTTTGAATCTCCACAACTCTTAACTAAAGTTACTGACATTTTTTGGCTGCCCGCTTAGCTCAGTAGGGAGAGCTTTGCCCTATTAATCCAAGGTTACTTTGTTGGGGCAAGGCATAGACATTGAGTGCAATGGTCATTTGTCTCTCACGGCTGATTAATAAATAACTTGTTATTAGTAGTCGGTCACTTAAGGAGAAATAGGCAATAACTGGTAGGTATGACTTAAAATGAGTTAAAAATTGCAATTAAACCAAAAACAAACAAAAACAAAATCTAACACATCATAAGGATGAGACTGTAGAATTCAAGGTCCTGTATAAATGTGCTTTAAAAGATATTTAAAAGACAAATGACCTGTATCATAATGTTAGAGTTTATTGTAATCTTATCAAAACAATGATAAAGGCATTACAATAAAATTGCACATTGCAGTGCCCTAGATAATTTCTGATATTTAAGATGCATATGCTTTAAGATTGCTTATTTATTTTCTATTTTAGGTGATGATGATTTTAAAGCATACAGATATAACAAAGACAAGGCATTATCTTGGTTGAAGTTAAAGGCAAGTTTGTAGAAGCAGGAACTGAAATATCAGTAACTGTGAAAACATTTCATTGATTTAAGATGATTAAAATAGTGTTTTGTCCACTTTTCTATAGAGAACAAAAGTTTCCCTTTTATTTTGTTATCCAAATTCAACAAGATGAGAGGAAATTCAGTGAAACAGTTGACTGCTGGAAAGAACTTTCACATTTCACAAAATAAGCTGATATTTTGGGGAATGAATATATAGCGAGCACAATGGTTAATTTAAAATCATGAAAAAGTGCCTGCTTTATACATACCCCAAAACATTGACTTGGTTTTTGGTTTACCTTTGTAAATGTTAATTAAGCTCCCTTTAACTAACTCATGTCCACATACATTCATTATTCTAAAAAATCAGGCATGCTGTGCAGGATGGATAGCATAACATGCTGGAAAAAGTGATTTCAGATTTCTTTTGAATATTGATATTGTATTTGTGTCATACATATTGATTTGAGTAGACTTGCTGGGAATTTCCCCCTTGTTGCTGAGGGTTGCCTTAAAGGGTTGAAGCATCAGAATTGCAGCCACCATTTATCCCTTTATGATTGTAAGAGGCGATTAAATAGGTTTGAATTACCGGAATCTATGCATCTCATAGTGCCAGCAAGTTAGGTGGTTTTGACCTTTAAGATTGTAACACCCATGGTTAGCCAAAATCGTCTTCCTGTCCCTGTGCTATATGACATAAATTGTATTGGTGCACTATAAAACCAAACAAACAAACAAAAATAAAGATACAAAGATGAAAAATACTAAAGGAAAATATGGATGGCTCTGTATTTACTAATATCTATTTGCAGGGAAGCGTTTTAAAGTTAATTTGTTTGAGCATTTTCAAAGTATTAGTATTTAATGAATTATTATTTCAGACAGAAAATGTATGTAAAGTATTGGAGGAGAAGAATGTTTGTGTGTCCGGTGCTAAAACATCAGAACTTGTACAGAGTAAAGCTACTGAAGGTTTGTTAAATGATCTATTATTACAGGTATTGCAATTAGTGTTTTCCTGCGTTGATGGTCATTAGCACGGAGGAATGTAGTCTAGTACTGGTGTATCTCTCCAGGAAGGATGGTTAGGAAACTACCCGTCTATATGACTGAAATACTGTTGAGAAAAGGCGTAAAATGAAGCAAACAAACAAAATTACCTTGTCCATTACTTTTGGTGGATTTTTATGGAATGATGAAAGTAGCAAACCTTTTATGGTACTGTTAAAAAAAACAAAAAAAAACAACTACTGTTATGGCCAGCTGAAAAAGGTAGTTATCACAGTTATGAATAGAAATAAACTATTTGATAAACATCATTGTCTTAACTGACAGGTAGATCCTAATAAAACAATATTGCACTGATTTCATGGGATTTCTGACTTTGGTAAAATAATTCTGATTCACTGTACAATATGGCCGACAAAGTTAGAGAAATTAGGTAGTAAATCGAAACAAATATAAAATTCTTTATTTGCTTTAGTATTTAAGATTAGAATCATTATTGATATTTCAGAGGAGTATATGAGATATGCTTTTGGAGTGGTGTCCGACTATCTTCCTACAGAATTAACCAACTTGCTGAGAGAACATTTAGGGTGAGTAACTATATTCTGTGATTTGCTTTGCTTTGCTGTGCATGCTTAATCATAAACTTTTAGTGACATTTTATTATACCGGAAGGAACGTAGGTGGTTCTACTCAGGTGCCCGTTCGTGTCGGAAATAATGCACGGAATGGCACCTGAGGTCTTCCTCCACCAGTAAAGCTGGAGCATCGCGATATGACCTATACTGTGTCAATGTGACGTAAAATCCAAAACAAACAAACAAAATTATACCGGAAAAGTTGAAAATTAAAACCTCTTATTCTCACAGGGCTCGCGCTGGCAGGAGAAGAAAATAATTAAACTTATAAAGAATATGACTAAGACTCTCCAGTCGAAATTTAAAGAATATAACTTAAAGACTCTCCAGTTGAAATTTAGCATTCACTATTTAAGAATGGGACGGTATACATTTTGTTTCAGCACTTCATGCAATAATCTGATAATTTTTATTATGCCCCCGCCATGTAATGGCCGGGGCATATAGTGTTACCCTGTTCCGTCATTCCGTCATTCCGTCATTCTGTCATTCCGTCATCATCAGTTTCCGTTCATTATCTTAGTAACGGCTGCACACATTCAACTCAAATTTGACATATGGATACGTCATGATAAAATACAGGTCAAATTCAAATTTGGTCATGGTCCAAGGATTTTTGGCAGAGTTATGCCCCTTTTACTTTGAAAATAATATGAAATTTTCAGTTTCTGTTCATTATCTCCCCAACGGTACAACACATTCAACTCAAATTTGACATATGGATACGTCATGATAAAATACAGGTCAAGTTCAAATTTGGTCATGGTTCGATGATTTTTGGCAGAGTTATGCCCCTTTTACTTTGAAAATAATATGAAATTTTCAGTTTCTGTTCATTATCTCCCCAACGGTACAACACATTCAACTCAAATTTGACATATGGATATGTCATGATAAAATACAGGCCAAGTTCGAATTTGGTCATGGTTCGATGATTTTTGGCAGAGTTATGCCCCTTTTACTTTGAAAATATGAAATTTTCAGTTTCCGTTCATTATCTCCCCAACGGTACAACACATTCAACTCAAATTTGACATATGGATACGTCATTATAAAATACAGGTCAAGTTCGAATTTGGTCATGGTTCGATGATTTTTGGCAGAGTTATGCCCCTTTTACTTTGAAAATAATATGAAATTTTCAGTTTCTGTTCATTATCTCCCCAACGGTACAACACATTTAACTCAAACTTGACATATGGATATGTCATGATAAAATACAGGTCATGTTCGAATTTGGTCATGGTTCAATGATTTTTGGCAGAGTTATGCCCTTTCACTTTGAAAATAATATAAGATACATCTGAGGAATAAGCAGTTTAAGTTTGAATTTGTCGTCGTTTCAATGATTTTGGACAAACTTATCTTTCTTGAATGTTGGAAAAATTTTGAACTTTCAGTTTCAGCACTCATACTTTTGTGGAAATGTATGTAGCCATTATTTTGGCTACAAATATGAAATATGATATTTTCAAAAGGTTAAGACTGAATAATTTCAGTGCCTTGAACATTGTATGGAAATGGTTTGTGTTAACATTGAAAAGTTTTAAGGGCTTTGAACTTAAAATGAAAAAAATAATTTGTGCAAACAAATTTGGAACTAAATATTATAACATCTGAAATTTTGGCTGCATGCGGGGGCATCCGTGGCATGATGACACATTTCTAGTTGTATTACTGTAAAGCATATTACAATTTCATTGGTAAGATTTTAAAGAGAAGTGATTTAACTAGAAGATTGATTGAGATGGATATTTATGAAAGTATGATCATCTAAAAGTTACAAGTACAGTGCTGGATTTTTAATGTTTTTGAATAAAATTATGATTATGTTTAACCTTCAGCTTACAAAAATCTCAGGTTCATGCCTAAAATAATGCATGAAATGGCACTTTAGATCTTCCTTCACCAGTTAAGCAGGAAAGTCGCCATATTGATATCATAATTATCATAAGATAAAAACCACACCATAGGTTGATATATTTACATGTAAAAAAATGATAAGTACATGTCTTGCTTCTATTTTTAGCTCACCTGTCACAAAGTGACAGGGTGAGCTTTTGTGATCGCTTTTCGTCCGGCGTCCATCCGTCCGTAAACTTTTGCTTTAAATGACATCTCCTCATAAACCACTGAGCCAATTTCATCCAAACTTCACAGGAATGTTCCTTTGGTGGTCACCTTTAAAAATTGTTCAAAGAATTTAATTCCATGCAGAACTCTGGTTGCCATGGCAACCAAAAGAAAAAACTTTAAATATCTTCTTTTAAAAAACCATAAGAGCTAGAGCTTAGATATTTGGCATGAAACATCTTTTAGTGAATGTCTAGTGAGTGTCTACCAAGTTTGTTCAAATAAAAGCTCTGGGGTCAAAATTGGCCCCGCCCAGGGGGGTCATTGATTTTCCCTATATGCATATAGTAAAAACTTAAAAAATCTTCTTTTAAAGAACCTAAAGAGCTAGAGCTAAGATATTTAGCATGAAACATGTTCTAATGGGTGTCTACCAAGTTTGTTCAAATAAAAGCCCTGGGGTCAAAATTGGCCCCGCCCCGGGGGGTCATTGATTTTCCCTATATGCATATAGTAAAAACTTAAAAAATCCTCTTTTAAAGAACCGTAAGAGCTAGAGCTAAGATATTTAGCATGAAACATCTTCTAGTGAATGTCAACCAAGTTTGTTCAAATAAAAGCCCTGGGGTCAAAATTGGCCCCGCCCCAGGGGGTCATTGATTTTCCCTATATGCATATAGTAAAAGCTTAAAAATCTTCTTTTAAAGAACCCAAAGAGCTAGAGCTAAGATATTAAGCATGAAACATCTTCTAAAGAGTGTCTACCAAGTTTGTTCAAATTAAAGCCCTTGGGTCAAAATTGGCCCCGCCCCGGGGGTCATTGATTTTCCCTATATGCGTATAGTAAAAACTTAAAAAATCTTCTTTTAAAGAACCATAAGAGCTAGAGCTTAGATATTTAGCATGAAACATCTTCTAGTGAGTGTCTACCAAGTTTGTTCAAATAAAAGCCCTGGGGTCAAAATTGACCCCGCCCCAGGGGGTCATAGATTTTCCCTATATGCATATAGTAAAAACTTAAAAAATCTTCTTTTAAAGAACCCAAAGAGCTAGAGCTAAGATATTTAGCATGAAACATCTTCTTATAAGTTTCTACCAAGTTTGTACAAATAAAAGCCCTGGGGTCAAAATTGGCCCAGCCCCAGGGGGTCATTGATTTTCCCTATATGCATATAGTAAAAACTTAAAGAATCTTCTTTTAAAGAACTCAAAGAGCTAGAGCTAAGATATTTAGCATGAAACATGTTCTAATGGGTGTCTACCAAGTATGTTCAAATAAAAGCCCTGGGGTCAAAATTGGCCCCGGGGGGGGGGGGGTCATTGATTTTCCTTATATGTGTATAGCAAAAACTTAAAAATCTTCTTTTGAAAACCCAAATAGCTAGAGTTTAGATATTAAGCATGAAACATCTTTAAGTATATATTTACAAAGTTTGTTAAAATAAACGCCCGGGGGTCAAAACTGGCCCTGCCCCAGGGGTGTCATTGTTTTTAACTATATGTGTATAGTAAAAACTTTAAAAATCTTCTTTTAAAAAAGCCAATGAGGTAGAACTTAGATGTTTAGCATGAAACATCTTCTTATGGGTGTCTACCAAGTCTGTTCAAATAAACAAATAAAAGCCCTTGTGGGTAAAAATTGGCCGGGGTGGGGGGGGGCCTATATACAGGTGAGCGGACCTCAGGGCCATCATGGCCCTCTGTTATTGATTAGTCTTAGTTTGGAAATATTTTGTTTTGTGAACATTGATGTGTGGTCAGTAGCTCTAATAAATATTGTATGATTGGATTTTGTCTATAAAACATGTTTATGGTCTTGGAGTTATACCAGGTATACCAGTGGCTTAATATGTTACTTCCTCATGATTTATGGTTACAGTTTACCAGTTGTTGCAGAGAAGAGACCATCAGATGCTAAGAATCCACCATCAAAGGTTGTTTTTTCTTCATTTTTATGCCCCCACAGAGTGGGAGCATATAGCCTTGCACTTATCCGTCCGAGTGTCCGTCACGCCGAACGTCCGTCCGTCCGTCTGTCCGTACGTCCCGAAATCTTGTGAACGCAACTCCTCTTAAACCGGATGGCAGATTTTGCTTAAACTTCCAGGGATGAACAATCTTAATGTGTAGATGGTAGTAAAGGAAGGAATTTTTGCTGCGACCAAATTTAACAGAATTATGGCCCTTTGTTGATTTTTTCACTATATACTATGTAGAAATTTTGTGAATGCAACTCCTCTTAAACCGGATGACAGATTTTGCTTAAACTTCCAGGGATGAATAACCTTAGTGTGTAGATGGTAGTAAAGGAAGGAATTTTTGCTACAACCAAATTTAACAGAATTATGGCCCTTTGTTGATTTTTTCACTATATACTATGTAAAAAATTTTGTGAACGCAACTCCTCTTAAACCGGATGGCAGATTTTGCTTAAACTTCCAGGGATAAACAACCTTAATGTGTAGATGGTTGTAAAGGAAGGAATTTTTGCTGCGACCAAATTTAACAGAATTATGGCCCTTTGTTGATTTTTAGTTTTCAACTTGTGGCACATGTAGTCCAAAAAATATTTGACCTAGAGTCATAAGATTGACAGAACAATGGCGTGTGGGGGCATCCGTGTCCTATGGACACATTTCTAGTTCCTTGTTATTTATAAGTTTTTTGAAATGTATGCTTATTCTGCTGCATTTGTTTAACAGAATTATTTAAATACTGCTGCTCTTTGCTGAGAAGTCGGATATGGCAATTAGCAGGGATTGAAAAATATTATTAGAGCCAAGACAAGTAGTTGCTAAATTCTACCAGCAGGCTACATTGTTCTGTTCGTCCTGCTGCAAACTCTACTCGTAAATAGTGTCTTGAATTCTACAAAACAAACAATAAAATATATAAATATAGCAGTGCTGAATTTTCTTTACATAAATCATTATGGACCATTAAAGACATCAAGTTTATATTGTATTGTTTCTACTTAAAAAGTGTGGATTCTAGATTAGTTTTATCAGCAAACTATTTTGACATTGATAATAATATTACAGAGAGCAAAACTAGAAGATATAACCCCTAATGAAGATTATAGTCAGAATGTGAAACATGAAGACAAGTCTAAAAAGGTAAGGCAAGCTCAGTTGTTTAAGTGTCTTGTTCCCAACTCGGGATCTTGGGTGAAAGTTCTTCTGGGCTCACAAACATGTTTCCTCATTATCATATGACACTAGCACTGGTAAATCCTAGGAAGCAGACTGGATATTTGTTCAAGTATTAGTAATTCTTATAATGCAAGTTAGAATTAAAAATGAATACATGCATGTTTAAATTAAAAATAATCACTTCTTTAGTTATCCCATGATGACCATCCTGTTATTGCTGGATTGTAAAATGAAGCACATATTGTCCAAGTGTATTCAAATGTATAGTCTGACCAGAATATAAATTTATTTTTGTACTATAGTCTCAAAAAACCTAAACATTAACTATGATATGACTGTGATGTTTTCAAAAGCTTTATTGTGTACCTGCAGAGAAAATACCTGGTTTGATTTGTTGGACTGGGACAGAAAGATACACATGTTACATTATTAGTCCCAAGTTCTGTAGCTGCTTGATGAAATAGTTATAGTTTGCTTACTTAAAATCATTTGGGTAAAAAAGGGACAATAGTTCTACTGATCCAGATCAAACCTGTATTTCCTGCAAGTTGCCAGTAGCTTTTATTAATTCATCTGAAATACTGGTTTGAAAATGAACAATAAACATTTATAATTTGACTTAAGTACAGCATAGACATTGACTTTGGTAACTATATCATCTATATGTAATGAGCAGTGATCAGGACTCAAACTTAAAACTCGAAGGAGATTTAATCACAAGTGACAAATTTTACTTGTTTTTGCAACAGCCTTTACTTACTATATTTGGAATTTTTGTTTTATACTGGTAACCATTTGAAAGTTTTGGAAAAATTGACACTGAATTTTTGATGACACTGATATGAATTTATGAAAACAGTCAAATTTTTTTTCAAATGATGATACACATTTAGAAATGGTGTTGTTTATCATGATTTATGCCTTGACCTTTTGGTGGTTTTGGAGAAATATAGACAATGATGAGGAGTTTCAATTTTGGATTTTCAACATTTTTGTCAATTGAGAAAGGACTTTATATTTGGCTTCTACTTCTTGCATAAAGGTCAGAAAAAGACTGCACGCTACTAAAATAACTAGACTAGCAATTTTACATGACAATACCTAATTTTTACAGGGTAAAGCTAGCACAGCACAGAAGAAGTTGGAGAAAGTTGACAAGTCGGGGATGAAAAGCATGATGAGTTTCTTCTCTCCAAAAACAAAATCCTGATAATTGATGAGTATGAATACAGTCAAACCTGTGATTGATGACCCACTGCAGGACCAAAAAAATAAACAGTCAAACATGTACCTGGAAATATGTAGGTCCTTGATAATTGGAAAATTTTAGACAGGATTTGAATATGATTTCAGTTTTGAAGTGATGTTTATTTAATTAATTAATAGATTCACATTTTAAAGCTATTTATTGAATTTTATAGCATGTATGTTTTTTAAGCGGTTTTGTTTAACAGTTTGTTAAATTTATACATATTGAAATTAATAATACTTAACAGATTTATAGTATAGCATGTAGCATTTAATCAATTTCCACTCAAAGTGTTCATAGCTTTACCTTTAGAATGAAGTTATGTTTATTCAACTTGTTTGTTTTATATACAGTGTTCTATTTTGCTGTTTTAAGTGCTAGATTTTGTGATGTAATCGTCATTTTGGGTCTAAGACTTAATATTAGCACAGAATCTTTTTATAGCATTTTGCTTTGTTGTGGTTTAATGCTAAACTTGCCTAACTTCCAATTTTAGCACTGCCCATCAATATAAATTATTTGAAGATCCTGTAACTCAATGTTTTTATATTATAAATATGGTGCTCAAATGAAGATTTATCAATATTCCAAGTTCCAAAGAGCATAATTTGTAAAGATATTAACGAAATTACACTTTATGTTAATAAGAAATTGTAAATTCTAAGTCAAATTTTTCAATAAGAAATGAGTGCATATATTTTAATGATAACTCAAATGTGGACAAATATTCACAGTACATATTTTACATATTCTTGGATGTTTGAAAAGTGTTTTAGAAGCATAATTATATACATATATAAAATTTCACCTTAGTGTGGTCACAACGTTAATTACAACATACAGAATCTTTAAGGTAGTCACCAGTAAAGAGCCTGGTCAGACTGCACAATGTACAGGCTGGTGTGGCTCTATCCTGGTAGTACTTAATCTGATAACTTTTACTGTTTCAACAATCAGCAGAACGGTGGGGGTGGGGGGTAATATAACTTTCTCTGATTGGCAATTATTTTTCTTGTATTTAAATGACAATATACATGGTTACTTCATTAAATTACTGTATTCTGATGATTTAGATATATTGTTCCAATAACAATGTTGAATATATTGCTCGATTATCGTTATATTGTTTGAATATCATTAACTTTATATCATTTTTAAGATACGATAGTTTTAGCTTTGTTATATACAGTTTATTGTAAAGAAAAATTATACGTGTTATTCATATACAATGTTCAATAGCATAATAATTGTAAACACTGCCATTTAGATATGTAAGACTATATTTTATTTTGCTTGTCCTTGCTATGTTTTGGTGCTAACAGTAGGGTTTTAGTATTTGGGTGTTTTTTTTTCAATTTTGCAAACCTTATCTGCCATTATTGCATATAATCATCATGCATTTAAACACTAAATGGCTCAAAATACATCAGATTTAATGTTTTGACGTTAGAAAATGTGTATGGGAAATAATATTATTTATAAATTACTGTTAAATAATACAGAGCTGGCATTTCAGTTGTCATATAAAATTGAATAAAAGGAAAAAATCCATGTATTGTTTTGAAATTTTGTCTATATAAAAGTTGCACTTCATTTTGTCCTCAATTACACACAGGTTATGGGCATGCGTTTTCTACCGAGGTCACACCAATACTGTAAAAGATCATATTGCGACATTTAAGCTTTCTTGGTACAGGGAGGCTTCCTTGCCTCGGGGTGCCCCTCCTTGCAGAATCACAGACACTCCGGATGCTAGCCGTGTAACTCCCTCACACCATTGAAGCCAAAGGGACTTTGGTTCAGTTTGTTTGATAGGGTTTTATGTCACACCAACACAGTAAAGGTCACATGACGACTTTCAAGCTTTACTAGTGAAGGAAGACATAAGGCGCTCTCCAGGAACGATGGTTAGGAAACTACCCGCCTATATGACTGAAATACTGTTGAAAAGGGCGTAAAATGAAACAAACATGAGGCGCCCTTCCGTGCATTATTTAAGGCACGAACGGGCACCTTAGAACCACTGACGTTCAGTAAGATAGCTGGATAGCTTCCTCACATGAAATAATTCACAAGTTCCTGTCAGGATTTGAACCCACAGCGGTGAGGGGCAAGTTGAAACCACTCTACCACGGACGCCCCTTGTATTCAGTCACAGATTTATATTGTAATATAAATCCGTGATTCAGTTGATATATCAACAAATCAGATGTCCCAAAATGAAAACATATACATGTTTTAATAAGAATAGTAAGGTATATGTCTATTTAGTTCGACAGACTTTCTATGGAATTACGAATATCTGGGGTTTATCTACCTAATCCGGGGAGACAAACTTAATGTAGCAACATCGAAAATAAACGCAGAATACCTATATGACAGCTGGTTTCAGGGTTACCTCGTTTGCTTTTTAATCGCTGGTAATTCTTTTAAATAATTAAACATCTTTGATCCATAAGAAAAATTGGTCTTTCATAGAAAGAGAAAATATATCTGTAACACAATTTATTGTAAACATTTCATGTTCATGTATACAATAAGGGAACATAGTAAAAGTAAACATATAGCACTTCCTATTCTATTTGTCTTTTTGGTGAGTGTTCTTAAAGATGAACGGTACATGTATATATTAAAGCGGCATGTATCATGCATTTTCTTCTGGTCAAAAATGAAGCCTATGTCGGTTTAAGTTTTGATCAAAGGCCCACGAGTTGAATAACATTTGAAAACATCTACCATACCATGTTTCACACAAAATCATTCGTATCGCTAAAATTGAAGGTACTTTGGGCCCTAAACTAACTTCAGTTTTGCTAATATTGTGTGATCAGGTGTGCTAAAACACCACCAAGACTAGGTCAATTACGTAAAACGGTTTCTATATTAATACTAAGCAGCATGTATATTGTAATCTGACATTGTAAAATTTTGACTAAAATACTTTGATTATGCAAGCAGTGAAAATAATAAAATTAAATGAATGCTGAGAGTAATTCGGTGAACACATGATTGTATTGGCATCATCCAGCGGCCGATCCCTAATTTAAAACAGCTGATCAACTGTTTCTGTAATAAACAATATTCAGTGGACTATAGAGATGAATTTTCAGAATGCTGTTTAACGGTCTTCCATACTTTAAAATAGTATCCGAGACATAAGCCAACAAATATGGACTCTTTGGAACATAATAACATCGAAGGCTGGGTTCTTAATGTTGTAATTCCTTTGTGTCAATAGCTGCAAGTTACTTGTATATCCTAGGAAAACTGCAGTTTAATTGCGCTGTTTATACTTTTACATCGTATAATAGTAACATAATAATGGTTGCTTTTGCTTGATTTATCGCATAATTGACTAAGATCATTTGATTTCAATGTATGATAAGTTTGCAAATTAAAAACTATAGACATTGTATGATTGTATTTCTGTAAAGTATAATAAGTTGAAGTTGAGATTCGGTGAACGGGTTGCATCTCTATACGAGGAATGGTGAATCCAGGCACGAATGTCCGCTAAACAGGCCGCCCTCGTTAGCTATCTCGGGTTTAGTGCGTAGCAAATATCCACATTCAAAGTTCTCAAGTTCTGTTGTTGATGTACTAAAAAAATAAACAAAGATAGTAGTAACGATCTATATTTAGACAAGTGACGTAATCATTAAAAGTGCGACGTGCAGAAAATAAGTACGGAAACAAATCGGGAACAATTTAGCTTGATATCAAGTATTTTTTTGTTGATGTGAAAAATAAACAAAGATAGATTTAGTTGTTAATGTTTGCTACAAAATGCTTTGCTTCCATCATAATAGGTACTAATTTCAAATTATACACTAATACAGTTGTATAACGAACGTTTCACAACTTTTTTCTTCATAAACCAGTCACTAGCATAAAAGAAGAAAATTATAAACAAGTATCACCTGATTGCGATATTTTCACGTGCATAAAAGAGGAAATTTTACACTAATACATATAAATTCGGTGTTGTTTGACTCGTTCACTGGATTAGTATGAATAAATCTAAGATGTAAAAATTAAGATATTAATTATTAGAAGAAAGATAAAAGCTTTAAGAAACGCACGCGCTCATGTGCACAAACAACTCCTGTACCTAATATGCACGCCAAATATTCCTATTTCGCTAACGACATCTCGGCATTCCGGTCCTAGACCGACTCGTATCAGACGGTTTCTATGTCTAGCAGCTCGTATCCGGTCCATCAGGATCCACGACGATCTTTCCGGTGAATCTTTTATCTTCTCTAAATATTCCTTCAGTTCTGTTCCAAACAAGTTATTTCCTGAAGCGAAATAAAGAATAGTGGTTTATAAGTGTACTTCAGGAATTGTACAAAAAAAATTATGGACAACATGGTTTTAATATGGATTTCGTTGCAAGGAATGAAAAAAAATACATGTAGATGTATATAGCTGTGAACAATACAAACTTGCAAGTATCAGACTAACATAGATGACAATTGTTTTGTCGACATATAACTTATACTTGGCTACAGTACTGTAAACACAAACTTTACAAGTATTCAATGTTATGATGACCGATTTGGCATTTTAGTAAGAGAGTTTGACCTTGGCACAACAATTTATGCACATGTGTAGGAAATAGTACATTTCAAGCCTGGATGACAAAGCGGACAACAGTTTACATACACATATTCAAGTACATTACATGTATTAACTGCACCATTCGAAGCACCTTGTGTTTATTAATAAGTTTGTGTGTGAGCGTGTGTGTGTGTCTACCACCGTCGACACGCTATCATATATTAATAGATAATTAAATAAAAATCCAATCTCAGTGTACCTCCGCCTTCCCGCTGTGGTTTCAGGACATATTTCTCGGGCGTCTGTAAAGCTTGACTAATTATTTCATCAGAATCTGCCTGAAATAACGTTATAACATATAACAATAATTTATTTTAAAATGTCATATTGTTTGAATTGTTTTTGCTATAGAAGTACCGTAGCAATGCTGTATATTATTCTCCTACAAGCTGTCTACAATATGTACAATAAATACAGTTTCTAATTACATGTAATCTCGTGTACATCATTTTAAAATTCACGATACATGTACATGTAATATATGTTGAATTTATATACTAAATTACAATGTATTTCATATCTAACGCTATTTTCTTTACGTGGTAAATTTAACCCATGCTTGCCCTTACGAATGAAGAATAAAAATCGTTTGCAAAGAAAACTGTACTCTTTAAAGTTGAACAGTAACATTCTCCAAATATAAATGTCAACAAAAAAACAACAACATACATGTATTATTTACTATTGTAACCTGTAAACATAGAATGTATTTGGTTGAATATAAGTCTGACAAATTACATGAATTAACTTTGATTTTAAAGCAAATTAAGGATGGACTTGTTTTAAATTGTGACTATTTATATATATTATTGCTACTTGTTTTACATATTTTATTACTTTATGTATTTTTGCTCACGGATGTTGTTCAATATTTAAATTGATTAATATATGTATATTTGTATAAAACATGCCTACAGGCACGTATACATGAATATATTTAGATAAAAACTCTCTGTCTCTAGCTATCCCACACAAAACTGTGTGAACAAATAAACTTCATAGTCAAGTATTTATCGAGACTGTGATAAACAGATTTAATTTAGACTTTATCCATCTGAGTTCAATTCTTGACACTACGGTCGTCACTAACATCTTGACTTGTTGGGAGTTGCCTTGCTAATACACGTATTGTCCAAGATAAGCTCCTGTACTTAATTTCACCTCAGGAAATAAGATAACTATATCTACATATACATAAAAATAACTTCACTGTTTTTATCGTTTGATTTTAGTATTAAATGACTGACAAATAGAAATTTAACTTTAATCTTTTTACACGAATATGCTGGGGATTTGTGTCTAGGTTTACTTTAACTTAAAATCTAGTTTATTAAGTTTACTGAGTCAGGTTTATCCGCAGTGTCTAGTTTATTTACTGAGTTTAGTTAACCTGCAGTGTCTTGTTTACTCAATATGTCTAGTTGACTCACTGTGTCTAGATAAATAACTCATTGTGTCTAGTTTACCAACGGTGTCTAGTTAATATACTGAGACTACAATGTAGTTTATTCGATATGTTTTATTCATCCACGGTGCCTAGTTTTACCCGCTGTGCAGTTCCCACTGTGTCTAGTTTACTGAATAGCTCTAGTTAACACACATTATCAAGATTACTCAGTGTCTAGTTCACACATTGTATCTTGTTTTCTCAATGTGTCTAGTTTACTCTATAAGTTTAATTCACTGATTGTGTATTATATTCTCCATTTGTCTAGTTTTATTGTGTCAGGTTTATTGTGTATTTTTTATTATGTCTAGTTTACAGTGTCTAGTTCATTGTTTCTAGATTACCGTTTCTTGTTTACTGTGTCTAGTGTACTCATTGTATGAAGTTTACCCGCAGTGTCTAGATTGTTTATGGTGTTTAATAAATTAATTTTTTAACTAACTACATGTAATAAGTTAACAAACTAAGCCTAGTTTACTCACTGTGTCTAGTTTATATAGTCCAACAAATGTAGATCGTAAATCGTTTATAACATCGGTTCCTTTTATAAATCTCTCAAGCACTCCTGGTTCCGCTAAAACTTGTTGTATTTTCTTACATCCGGCCAGATGAAAAGCCACAGTTGGGCATTTGATTGCACGCGATCTCTCTATGTCTAACCGTAGCTTGAATTCCTGTAACACAACAACAATGTCAAGTAACTAATAAACGGATGATCCGTGAGACGAAAGTTTATTTTAGTCACCACCGAAAACCTATACAGACGACTCACGCTGACAGACTGTGAGCCATTTATTTAGGATTACACAACCAAAAGAAATACATGAAATACTACTTTCTAGGAAAAACAAATGGACCCTTAACGTGCAACTTGTATAAAGCACCATTACACCGACACACGGCTTTTAGTTTCACCTAGAAGACTTCAGTTATTTAAGCCGGAGAAGGGCTAATTTGCAAAACTATGTTACAACTGGTCCATTGTCGCTGCTTCAATGAACAGTTAGTGTCAGATGTCCGAACCCGAATGATTTCCGTGGCCATAGGTCACAAATGTTTCGGTAAGCGACGTACTGAATATTCCGTTGTATCTACCGCAACAATCGCACACTTACTGGCATTATATTATTTGCATCGGGATTGAAATTTGAAAGACCCTGTTTACATTCAATATTCAGATTTGTTTGAAAATTACTCAGCAGCTACAGTTTACAAATATAGAGTAGAGACTTACAGCATCTGTAGGATAATGTTTAGGAGAATATCCGTATCTATAGTAGACAACAGCCACCTCCATACCATCCCTGTCAAATATAATACCACACTAACTGGTTACAACATTTTCCTACATTATCATATATTTCGTAACAGAAAATGATAATTCAAGTGTTCATATATATAAACTTCGTTTGTAAAAGTGGAGTCAAGGACTACTTCTGTATCATTAAGAGCTGTCAGACCTTATTTTTGGCTTTAAATTCAGTTTTAATATAATACATGAATTTATTTCCTTTAATGTTTCAAACTATACTATATTTTGATTCATAATCAACGCTTTATCACTTTATGATATGAAGACACTATGCCCCAAGGTGCCATTGACACCAACATTCGGCAGTCTGAAATTAAGACCACCCCACTATTAAGACCATTTTCTTCAGAACCGCAAACGGTCTCATTAGTGAGGTTCTACTCTATTTTGCTTTTTTAAGCTTGTATGGGAATGAGTTGTTTTTTCTTCGAATCAATTTCGAGTCTGCTTCCTAACAAGACTAACAAGTACTGGTGTCTTATGAAGAAACATATGGTTGTGATCGACCATGTTACAACTCAGATCCACAATCCAAGAGGAGACATTTAAACAACTTATTACCACAATTTCAGCATATCTTTATCTTTTTAACTCTTATATATTTCATAATTTTTTACTAGTATCATTAATTATATCTATTAAATAGTAAATATAAAACCTGATATAAAAAGAAACAATATTTACACAAGCAGTTCTTTATTTTCGCCGAGCGTCACCTGGCGGATGAGTTGTGGGAATGTTCTATAAATAACTTTTACAGATCTGTCTATTTGGAATATATCTCTTTCGAGCCAGCGTTGATCCGGGGTATTTGGTTCAGGTATACCCACAATATACAGTATCACAGATCTGAAAATAGAGATTTCTATCTTTACTGTATATGTATTCATATTTCAAACAAGAATGACATTAATGGGTGTTTTTGCATAAATTGTCTTACAGTCGTTACTTTGTTCTTTGATTACAGCGTATATAAAATGTAGTTACAAAATATATTTGAGTTAAGTAATTTAAAAAATAAATCTTTAGTATAATATACATGATTATATAAGGACACATTGTTTAATTCATAATCACTATTTGTTATAAATTAGCAGTAAGTAGACGTATTTGTAAGAATTTCAGACGATTTACCATTAATTTAATATGATCTAAATTTTTTCGTTGATGTATTAAATGTTTCCTAGAAGGAATTCTTTGTGGTGCATCAAATTGTCAACTTCAGATCTGTTGTTGTAAGGCGTTTAACAAATAATTATAAATACGTTTTACAACTTTAATTTAAAAAAAATGTAAACGTTTTTTGTGTGTTTTGATTTAATTGCACACAGATGTTTATAACAAACTTTCGGAAATTCTTACTTCACTAGAGGTACATTAAACAACTCAAAATTTTTCATCACTATAAAATCTGTTTGTTATTTAGTAAAAGTTTTAAAAACACTATTTACCCAGTTGATACAAACTTACAGTATAAAAAGATATCAATAGATCTAGATTGAATCATTTAAGTACATTTTTTATTCGGAACACTTTGACTCATAATGCTTATCCGAAGTTTGGCCGAAAGGGACGAAAAGTTGAGTTTGTACATGGGTATAAGTGCTACTATGAAAGGTACAATGAAATGAAAAAATCGTTCATTTACTTTTGATTTTTGTATAGTCTCCAAGCCTTTACCATACCATCCGCTAATCCAGCAGTAGGGTGATTGTCTGGTAACTGTAGATAACAAATGAAGATGTTAAAATCATATATGACACAACTATAATATTCATATTTTACTCATAGCAGGATCTGTCTATTTGGAAGACCTCGCAAAAAGTAACCAAAAATCTTTATCAAAGTAACGAAATAGACTACTCTGCTCAAAGTAAGGCCTGTTCAAAGTAACGGATGACCCGACAAAAAGTAGGAAAAGATCCTGCTAAAATTAACGCGAGATCCTGCTCAAATTACGAAATACTTTGCTCAAAGTAAATCTCTGTTTAAGCTCGTTACTTTTATTTTGAATATTATCCACACATTTAACAATATCTATTAGGGTTTAAGTCACGCCCACGCTTATATGGTAGAGTATCACAGCTGGTGCCCTCCGTGCATATTAAACTGGACACGCGGAAATTTGAACAATAAGTTAGTTTAATTAATAGCGCAATTGACATGGGAGTAGAAACCATGGAAACTGGGAAGTGGAAAACATGCATCCTGCTTTGGGAGTGCAAAACTCGAGTACCCATATACGTACATACCAGGTATAAAACTATTTTATATATAACAATAACCACAATAAAACAGGCAGTGAGAAAAGAGCAATGATAAATCTGTCAATCGTACATGTAACTCATGTGTTACGTTTTTCATCAGGTCCCCGTAGCGCAGTGGATAGCGCGCTGGACTTCTAATCCAGAGGTCGCGGGTTCGAATCCCGCCGGGGATGTTTTTTTTATTTATATTGTTATATCAAACAATTCTTAGTGTGACCGCGCAATATTTAATTTCATGAATGAATTTACTTTAAAAGTTTGGGGGTTTTGACATTCATTCTTTCATTGAAATACCTGTTCACTGTTGAATGGAATATCTTCTAACGTTAGACTGTACCTGTAATGAAACACACAACATCATGCATCGAACATATTAATAAAATCAAATGTGTATTTACCTTTAATACACTAATTATCTTAATTTCCAATCTGTGCAAAAACAATTGGCCTTTTTAGTGAAAAAATTAAAATAAGTACCAGAAAAGCGTACAGTGCAGACCATGATCGGACGACACGTATATTTAGGTTAGTGTCGTGGAAACCAAGATCATCCGACAATATCCGCATCATCTGACCATGGTCTGTACTGTTCGCTATTCAGTTAGTACATATTATGATTTTCCCCCTAAAATAATGAATGGTTATGTTCAGATAGAAAGATGGACAAGTCCATTTAATATATATGCAACATTGTAAGGTTTAAACGAACGTAAAACGCTCCATAAATTATCATAATAAAACCTGATTTATGTAAATGAATGAAAAGTAATATGTCAACATAGAAACGCTTTAATAAAAACTATGGTGGCTGATTTCTGCCATTTCGTGTCCTGATGTCTTCATCCCTCAAATGTTGAAAGCAAAGACACGAAATGGCAGGAATCAGCCACCATAAAAACTGACCTGTGTACGTCGGTCATACTGCTTATCACTCCGCCAGCACCGGAAGCAAAAGTGTTAAATTCCACCTGTTTACAGTCTTGTGTGACGTCATTATCATTTCTATATTCCATCATAAAGTCGTTGCGTGTTAATACAAGAGATATTTCCTGTAAAATACAACATAACACACATTAAAGGCCCATTTTGCTTTAGAAATGTTATAATTTTTATTTCTAAAAAAAATTTCTATTTTTGTTATCTTGTCACCAGCAAACTCATAATCATGTGCCATATACATAAACTATCTATTGCATATTTTGCTCTGTTTTCAAATGGTATATTAAGTGAATTAGTATCTTGTATGGAAGTAAAATACTAGATTCTACATTGTTTACATTTTACTACCTTTAAGACACATCGCTGTATTTTTAGTGCTACTGTTTTTAGTTGTTTAATATTTAAAATACTCTTAATACCTTAATAAAACATAATCTAACACATCTTTCGGCATTTCTAAAGAAATTCAAAAATATCGATTTCTGAGGCTTGATGTGCCTTTAAATCAAAGATAAAATATTATGTTAATAATCTCTTCCAGAGCATTGGAGGCAGCAGAATTAAAGTGTGACAATTCATCAAAAGCTGTGCTTCAACTCACAGGTGCTCGTCCAGTCTTGGTGCCCATATAAAAAAAATGAAGTTTAAAAAAAAAATTAAAAAAAAAAAATTTGATAAAAAAAACAAAAAAAAAACATCAAAATTACTATTTTGGGTTGAGTGTAAGAAAAAAAAAATTGAAATTTTTTTTTTTCGGAATTTTAACAAATTGGAGTGTCCGAGTTTAAATGTAAGTTATTTAAAATTGTATGTAAGGTACAATAAGAATGTTAACAATTTTTTAAATGCACAATGTGTAAAGAGTAGCAAAATAGCTTTTATTGTTACAGAACTCGACATTGTGGTTGTTCCACAGTGTGTCCTAGTAAAGCTCCGTAGCGTTACGGCGACTAGGTGACCTTTTCGTAGTAATGGTATATAGGGGAAAAAAAATCAAATTTTTTTTTCTTACACTCAACCCAAAATAGTAATTTTGATGTTTTTTTATTTTTTTTTTTTTTCAAATTTTTTTTTTCAATTTTTTTTTTTTAACTTCATTTTTTTATATGGGCACCAAGAATGGACGAGCACCTGTGCTTCAACTTACAACTGTCAGAAGTTTTATGAATCTATGCAACAGCTATTAAGTATATAGTACAATATTTATTCCTTCCGTATTGTATGATAAATCTTTCATCAGGTCCCCGTAGCGCAGTGGATAGCGCGCTGGACTTCTAATCCAGAGGTCGCGGGTTCGAATCCCGCCGGGGATGATTTTTTGTTTTTGTTTTTAAGATAAAAGGATACAGAATAATTTGATATCGGAAGAACACGTTACTTCAGAAGAACTGTGCAAACTGTCAATGAATACGTAAAGCGCTAGCCAGGTCAATTAGGCAGTAAGTAGCTTTCTCCCAAATTCGAGCTTTAAACGGGTCATTGCCGTGTTTCTCACATGACGGCAGTACTAGTTAGTTCACAGAAGTATAAGGATTTTTTGGCCCGGTTTGTACGTCGCAGTAACACAGTATAGGTCTTATGGCGACTTTCAAGCTTTGCTGGTGGAGGAAGACCTCAGATGCCCCTCCTAGCATTATTTCAGGCACGAACGTGCACCTGAATAGAACCATCGGCGTTCCGTTAGGTAGCCGGACTGCTTCCCCAGAATCCAAAGTCACAGTCGAGATTCGAACCTACAGCGTTCAGGGACAAGTGGTTCTAAGGCAACGACATTAACTACTCGACCATGGACGCCCCAACTTTTTGTTAAAATAACCTAAATTCTAAGGTTTATTAATAGGATCACTATTACAATAAAACCCCTTTTCTGTATACCCATTTATAGTTGACTTTAGTTTAAATAGTAAAACATTGACTCTCAATTATACATTGTGTGTTACCTGAGTTATTCCTTCGCCTCGCACAGTTTCATAAATTGTCCAAAGTTGTTTTGTGAAGTCGTCAACATTGAGCAATCTGTGAATTAAAGATAAACAAAGTAAAAGACTGAACGCCATTGCGATTATGACCGGAAATAAAATTTCAGACACCTTACACATCTTACGCTTAACGCCGTCATCCTACCGCATCGCTTTAAAAGACAGCTCATAGCAAGAAATGAAATGTGAAATCTTACTCTATCGTGTCCCATATAGCTGGCAAATTAAAACACACTAATTCTCCTAAAGGTAAAAGTTAATAATATTATATTTTGCACACTGGATGCTTGTGATGAAGTCAACTCCATGAAAAGAAAGTAATATGAAACAATGACACAATGAAGAAGTAATGTTAAGCAAATCGTTCCAGTGTTATCCTTATGTTAAAGGACTGCTGGTATTGGACGCACATTCAATGAAAGTCATATTTCTAGAAATATGAAGAAAAGAATATATTATATGTTATAAAACCAGGGTTTCCGCCAATGTTTCATTACCAAACATGATAAGGCTGCACAACTTGAAGACAATAAAAAAAAATCGGCACGGAAGAAATTGCTTACGCCATGTCGCCCACACTAGCCCTCAGATATTCAGCAAGCCGAGAATAATGTCAAATGTTTGAAAATAAAAACAAGATCAAAAGTTGAAGTTGAAAAAAACCCGTCCTTCGACATTTAATAAGTTAATTACAATGTCAAAAGTTTTGAATCCTACCCTCCAACATTCAACAAGTTACAAGCAATGTTGGGGAAAAAATGGAAAAAAACCTGCTCTCAAAATTAAACAGACAAATAACAATGTTAAAACTCTTTGGAAAAAACATGAAAAGGGTACATATCCAGCTATCATGTATAAATATTTAAAAAATGGCGTTCCTACCCTTTTAAACATTCCTTCATGAACTCATGGTCATTAGCAACCTTATAAATCACAGTCTGGAAGGCTGTTTGTAAACCCCGTGTTTTCCTCAATACGTCGCCAGGTAGTATACTGGGAAATAATGTAAACGGCATAGGTTCAAGTCTTTCCGGGAACTCAGTCGCTGTTATCTTTTTCTGAACACCTGAATTAAAGTTATCTTTTCTGAACAACTGAATTAAAGTTATCTTTTTTGAACACCTGAATTAAAGTTATCTCTTCTGAACACCTGAATTAAAGTTATCTTTTCTGAACACCTGAATTAAAGTTATCTTGAATTAAAGTTATCTTTCCTGAACATTGTTTACGTAAATGCATTTGTATACATATGAGCCGCGTCACGACAAAACAAACATAATGGGTTTGCGACCTGCATGGATCCAGACCAGCCTGCGCATCCGCGCAGTCTGATCAGGATCCATGCTGTTCGCTTACAAAACCTATAACAAGTAGAGAAACTGATAGCGAACAGCATGGATCCTGATCAGACTGCGTGAATGCGCAGGCTGGTCTGGATCCATGCTGGTCGCAAACCCATTATGTTGATTTTGTCGTGACGCGGCTCATATATATATAACACAGGAATATGTATCACGTTGTCGGCATTTTCAACGACAAACTTGGCAACGGACGTCTATATTGTATCAAAACGCCACTCATTCCAGGGAGTCTTTCAAACTGCTTACATATAATATGAAAGATTATCACCACCATCATCATTTTCTTGAACATCTTCATCATCATGTCTTATTTATAACAAACTTTAGAAATGACTAAAAATAAGTGATTTTTTATGAAGAAAGTCTTAAACGAGCAGGTTTTCTTTACCGACACGATCTTTCTTGCATGTAAAAGTGACGCCATCAACTATTTAGTTTACCTTGCTTAAATAGTTGATCTTACTTTAGTCGTGTTGCCATCAACTATTTAGTTTACCTTACTTTAGTCGTGTTGCCATCATAGCATACCGTTTAACAAAGCCCATCCACCAACACGTTGAACCATTTCATCTAGTCTTTCTGGTGATAACGGCTTTCCATAGTCCTCCTCCACTGACACAACCCTGGACATCTTCTAAAATATCTGCTATTCGGACCTGCAAATGCTTAACCCTGAAAAAACAAAACTATATTATTTTGAGAGTTTCAGACGGATGGTTGCATGATCAGTCAAGATAAGAAAAGATAGATTACTAGGTTTTTATTAACATTATGTTTTAAGGTTTATGGTCCAGGTAGCGGATCGGAAGATATTAATACATGTATAAGTTGAATCATAGTTTGGGGACCTTTCTGTTGAAAATGTGTCTGAGTAAAGTCGTATACATGTATGAGATGTATGAATGGTATTTATTCATTTATAACACAGAAGCTGTATAATGAACTGTTCACAGATATTTATTCAGAAGTTCACATATTCGTGAACGTATTTTACTGTCGGTTTCATGCTCAAAAAGTCAGCTTGCCTTTCAAGCGTTTATAGATAAAGAACATATGCCTTTAAGGCTTTTGAATGATTTGTTATTAATGTATGCCTCCAGATTATGCTAATTTTCATTAAAAAATTGAAAATGTATTTTAAAGTAACATATTGTAAAGTAATAGGCACATAGCATACGGCACTTACAATCCGCGGACATTACCAAAAAACAAATCACAAATGGAAAAATAGCTCTCACTGCGTTAGCCACGCAGTATAGAAATTTTATATGGTGATATATTTGTGTAAATACTGCAATATCAGTCATTAATCGCACATATAATTTATAAATTAAAACTTGAGTTTAAAATCAATAATTTTTCTTAAAATCTTAGTACAAATTTTCTCTCAAGTTTGAGTTTCTTGACATACTTTGGCTTATTTTGGATGCATGTAGCTTTAAAGCTACACATTATGATATAAATATTGATGATGAGTTTTGATTTATCATCAGTAGATCGACTAAACTAGCAACAATAGGTTTCCAGTCAGCACAGTCATGTGTTTGTAGTCAGAAAGAAATAGCAATACCTCAAATACATTCATTATTTAATGAATATCATACGAAACGTGATTCTACTATATACTCGTATTGTTTCATTTATTTTATTTTATCTTATTTATATCTTTTTTAAATCTTTTTTTAGGGTAGATTTCAAAATTTAATCTGCAATTGATATAGTAGTGGAGCGGACAATAAACTTGAACGCAGTATACGGAGGTTCAAAAGGACATTCTGACCTTTCCTCATTAAGTCTATACACACGGTCACCGTGTGATGACAGATTGCTGTGCAGTGACGACGGAAATCTTAAATTACCCGATAACTACATGTAAGTTATAAAGTATAAACTTAGTTGGTTTATTCATATAATGCAAATAAGGAGTACAATTTCATGGCTATAAACATGCTGTCCATTGATTTAGTTTTGAACTAGAACAAGTTTCCCCATTTCATGAAATATCTTGAGCGATAGCTTCGGAAATATCCGTAAAAATGGTTGTTTTTATCTAATATATCTTAAATTTGAAATAAATCACTGGTGTCGGTAATATGCCAGGGTTTTTTCTCTCTCACTATATAGCAAAGGCCTTATATGGGCCCCATAACAGTCTACGCTCCAATGTATGAGCTCAACAACTGAAAGAAATGCCACTTGCGCTACTTATAACAAAATGTATATTTAGAAATGTCACCTTTAAAGACCCTAAAATACAAATCCAAGTTATATACAGCCTGATGAATAAGATCTTTGTAAACATTTCATTATAAATAACTCAAGTAAATCTTTCTTTTTCAAATAAAGAAAATGGTGGGCTGTAAATTGAGTGGAAAACAACGCAAACACTTCACGTTTCCGACAAAAATCGAAAATCAAGTGTAATATGTAGATAATATATACATATAGGTAAAAAGTTGACCTTTTCCAACAAAATACTGTTAAGGTAACATTTAATTAAACAAGGGCATAGTCTTCATTCAATCACATTAAAATCATATCCTAACTGTCGCTTCATTACCCTACGCTCGTAGGCTACGTAGCGAAGAGTAACGGAGCGAAAACGATGATCTGATTTTAATGAGATTGAGTCTTCATTACACATTTAACCAAGTTTTGTGTATTCATTATTATTTTTAGCTCGACTATTCGATAAGAATAAGTAGAGCTATTGTAGTCACCCGAGCGTCGGCGTCGGCGTCTGCGTCGGCGTAACCACTTATGTTAAAGTTTTTGTAATAGTTCAAATATTTTCAAAGTCCATTGACATAAGGCTTTGAAACTTTGCACACTTGTTCACCATCATTATCCCAACCTGTAAACAGGAGGAGGTAACTGTATCAAGCATTTTGACAGAATTATGCCCCTTTTTCGACTTAGAATTTACGTTAAAGTTTTTGTAATACCTCAAATATTTTCAAAGTCCATTGACATATGGCTTTGAAACTTTGCACACTTGTTCACCATCATTACCCCAACCTGTAAACAGGAGGAGGTATCTTTATCAAGCATTTTTTTTTACTATCAAGCACTAAGAATAGTCGAGCGTTGCTGTCCTACCGACAGCTCTTGTTTAATTTTTTTTTTGACTGACGTAATTATCCAAAATGTTTCAAGTTTATATTTCATCACCTTAGCAATGTGAAAATAGTACAGGCATCACACAATTAGGGTATGATATCGGTCTACGCATTGTCTATCGGCTATTTAACTACAATTTAAATTGGAGTAATGATGCGTAGGGTTTGACCACGCATGCAAACCATGCATATGTCTGGTGTTTTTCCCCGCGTTAAAACGGCAAAAATAAAATTACGTAAATAAGTATTTTCAATGATGTCATGTGCCTGACGTCATAAAAACAATCTGTCTTGTCTTCCCATCTTTACAGTATCGATAGCAGACCATTTTATTTCATTTTTTAAAATATCAAACATAAATCGCGATATATAACAAAACTCTTTAAAAATCTGCACTAGAAAACTGAAAATAAATCCAAATAATAATGCAAAAAAGGGAATAATATTATACTTTACAGATGAATGTGTCTAACTAATGAAATTTGAATTTTTTGCCCACTGTAACTTACGGTGGCGCTTACAAACCACCATACAAACGTAACATGTATACATGCAAGCAACGTGCTGAAGCATAAATCGATTTATAACATAGCAGGGCTTTGTTTAACCATTTATCTCAAAGCACTCATAAAAAAGATAATGTCACGCGATTTCAAATGTAATACAAAGTCTGATCTGACATCATTAAACGATGAAACATGAAAGATTGTTTATAACTATAACTTCTGACAATTTAACGAGTGATTTAATTGAGTAGCATTTCTACTTTCGTACGTATATCAGTAAACTAAAGAACGAAAAGTAACTTACCGTGGTGAGATGTTGATGTGTAATGTCCACTATTTATCCGTAGATATCATAGAACAATAAACCGATTTATCGTTACAGTTCAAACGAGTGTCTGACAATGTTTTTGTACTGCGGTGAATTCAATCTGTTCTATTTTTAGAACAATAGATAAGAGCGTGTAACTATGGTGTACACGTAGTGATTCAGTGATACATTGTATCAGCACAAGTACTAATTATAAACAATGCGTTTTTGACGCACACGCACAAATATGCGTGTAGTTCACACTTAAAAAAATATATTTTAAAAAGCCCATTCACCAAATAATTTATTGTCGGCTCGTCACACACATAATGGTCTTGTAATGTAGAGCATCTTTTAGTTACGAGGCGTGAAATAACCCAGTATTTTATATGAAGAGAAGTAGTTCCCGTACATAAAATATAACCCATAATAATTATAAAGTCGTGTAACATCGGTCATATTTTTCATTATAATCATAGAAGAGACCATTTTACAACAAGTATTAAAAATAGACATGTCATTCAAGAAATTTACAGTTTGGAGGTACTCTTATCCAAACGTATTGAACTGCGCTAATTATGCATTTGCTCATTAAAGTCATAAATTTATTTAATATGGTGATATTAAAGGACACATTTTCGTATTTAAGTAAGTTTTTTTATCGTATTGAAAACTTATCTAACCAATAGATAATACTGACAGGACGATATCGGTGATTTTCAATAAGTAGGTCCACACCATGTCACGTTGTTTTATATATAAGCTGCTTACTAAACAGCTAAAAATATTGTCCATGCAGCAAGTTGCATTACCATATTATTCACTGTTAAAAATTAGGCTCTTCCATTATCCACTGAAGAGTTCAAATTTGCGAAACCTTTATCGAATTTAAAGATCCTGTAACACATTTTTTTCATGGTTTTATTTCATAAATATGATGCTCAAATTAAGATTTGTCAATCTTGTAAGTTCAAATAAGCATTATTTATAAAGATATTACCCAATTTAACATTTTGCGTAAATAAAGGGAGGTAATTAGAAATTTATTTTCTATAATTCTAAGTCAAATTTTCCAATAAGAAATAAATGCATGTAACTTATTGATTAAATATAATGTGCACAAATATTTGCAGCACACATTTTACATATTCTTGGATGTTTGAAAATTGTTTTATTTGCATAATTATATACATATATAATATTTTGCAAGTGTATGATACATACAGTAACCTTCGTTATTGTCGCCTGCACTGAATTTTACTTTGGACATCATTTCCTTCGAAAAGTAGCTTACCAAAATCTGCTTTTTTTGTTACTTAAACAGCCTCTATTCTTGCTTTTAATTATACAAAGGGAATAACAATGACCAGTACAAGCTTTAGTCAGAAAATTTTAGGTGTTTAATGTGTCGCTGAAATTATCTTATTAAAAAAACCTTCGTTGTTCCCAATTTATATAATCTTTCAAATTATAAATATTTTGATTATCGAGCAACACAATATAGTGATAAAGCTATTAGAGACTAGTGTACACGACAGGAACACAAGCAGATATGTTTTGCACCTAAATGGCAAACACTGGTCATCATAAATAATTAGCATTTCTTCAAAAGTAGATTCTAATAACGTAAAACTTTCGTGATTTAAAAAAATACTAATGTTTCCTAAAGATATATCCTGACACCCTCTCATATCAACCAATATGTCACCTTGGTGTAGTAAGAGCGAAGACTATGTTTAAAACATTGTTATAGATCTACATTAAACTAATCCAGATCATAAATTGAGTTTAAACCTTCGTAATTTAAACTTTCGTTATCATAATTCAAATTTGCCGCGGAATTTGCATAAAATTACAGTGACATCACTTCCAGTGACGTCATATCGGAGTGTCTACTTGCCGGTAACTGAAATCACTGAAAAACACGAAAAACATTACTGGCATTTCCTTCTAGAATTGTGAGTATTTTTACCTTAGTTTTCAAAAGAATTATTTTGTGAAATGGTCGTTTGGAAATATATTTAATTTTGTAATTATTAGCGCAATAACCCATTTCACCAGCCCTTCGTAATTTATCGGAAACATTCGTAGACACGCATCACGTGGGAGGTAAAGTGCTAATATGTTTGACCAATGAAATACTGGTTCTCGAGTGTACATGTATTGTTTATATTTACGATAATGGCGGGTGATTCAGCGGCTGACGAGCGAGTGTTTATTGAATTAAAAAATGCTTATTCTTCTGGAAAACTCCCACAAACACTTTCATTTTGGTGTACGGACATAATCCCCTTCAGTCAAAATCCATACTTTCATTTTATAAACTACTTTCTGATGTCAAAATTAAACATTTCATTATCAGAATCCAATGGATTATCCTCCGCATCGGTCTCAAATGTAAGCTCAAATACTGACGATTTCTAATTGGCTAATATTTAAATATTCTCGGGGAATACCTTGAAAACAACCAATGATTTACGACGCTACAACGTGGCGACCGGGAAGTAAAGCAAACAGGTGTAAAGTCGATATCGACTCGTTATCGTGGCGTTAGGTATAGGAGAGAAGTTAAAACTGATGCATTATCGTCAATGAGTTAACTATGCAGTATAACGGCATATTCTTCGAAATATTTCAACTTTGTGATAAGAATCCGCCATGTAAATTTCCTTTGTTTACTTTTATGTTACTATTATTAGTAATAGATTGTACATGCATCCACCAGCATTTGATTGGTCAGTTGATTATATGATCGTAGCACTTCGCTAATTTTCGTGAGAAATCGTAGTGAAATGGGCTATATCATAATTTTTTAGTTAATAAATGAACATGATAATGATTTGTCTCCCTTTGGTATAAAAGTCATGTTAAAATCTATCAAACCTTCGTTATCGCATGATAACGAAGGTTTTATTTTATTTTTTTGTGATAAAAAATCAAGTTATACTTTGTGTATATACATTAAACATAACCCAGCAAACACCCGACGTTGACCCAACGTTGGATCAACGTTGAATTTTGGTCGCGACGTCGGTGACCTTCATACAACGTCAAATCGACGTTGAATCCCCGACGTCTAACAGACGTTTCATTTTGACGTCGAATCGACGTCGGGTTTTGGTCGGTAATCTGACAATAGGTGAATTTAATTTATGAAACCAATATATATATAAATGAAAGCATAAACAGCGAGAATTTTAAGTTTAAGTTTAGAAAGGGAACATAATATATTTATTTTCTCCATCAAAACAACAGTATCACGTGGGTGGCTAACGTACGATATTCGATAGGTGGCGCTCTGTTAACGGATAGTCGCAGATCAGTATAAAATATATTTGCTCTATTTTCGTTTAAATAATATCTTATCTCCTCGAATTAGTCTAAGAAGTGTTTATATAATTTACAATGAAGCTGTTATCATTTTTGAGGGGCTTCATTTTATAGTGGTAAATAATTTAGTAAATTCGAATTTGCGACTTATCGGATTTGAAATTCAATTGTATTGGCGGACAAAAAAACGTCGGGTTGACAGACAAAGTTGTATATTCCAAACAAAAGAAAAAGGTAGGCAAACATTATATATTGTTTTTCAATGCTAATTTACCCCATGTTTGCATGGATTCGATGGTTATTTGATCATTGAAATGTTTGACTGGTAAAACTTAATGTAACGTGATTTCGCGAGATAAATAATTTTGTTTCCACGTATATAAGAACACTTTATCATTTGCTATATAACAGTCTGTATAATCGGATCATTTTTCCCACACTATATCGCCATGCCAAATAAATGCACGATCAATGGTAGGAAATATCCTAGCAATTGAAATCAATAAAAAGTTAAATGCAGTACGTAAGACTCTTATTATTCAAATGCTGGTAAATAAAAATTCCTCTTATTTCTTATCAACATGAATTTCCCTTATATGAGGGGCCAGTCATTTACACATGTATCAGATGCAGTTTGATTTTGATATCTGTGTAGTTGTTAAACTACTCGTTGTTAATTGAAGTACTTTACCCATACTGTTAGCATACCATGTGTTTCTTATATTATGATAATGATTCATGGCATTTGATACATGTAAATGATACGACTTTGGTAAGATATATCTGAAAGCACATTGTATTTGACTAGCTATCTTTTTATTAATGTAATCAAACAACATATTATCAATCAGAAAACACATTATCATAGTTATAAATCAATAAAAGTAATAGTTTGTTAATTAGCCTGCTTATCAACAAGTTGTATGCTCGTATCATAAAACGTTTTTACACTAAGCCAGTCTGTCCTATATACACTTAGCAGACCAGATCATGCTGGGCAGAGATAATATCTATAAAAATGACAGTAACATGTGAATTTCTTTGATGTTGTATGAGCATTTGTACAAAGTACATTGAATATAAAAAAATAACAATATCAATTTTTGCGGGAGTAGAATTAATTTCATTTTGGTATTTGTTATATCAGTTTTTCATGCGCTTATGAGTTAACTAAGATTAATAGTAATTGGATTTTGCCTATTGTATTAGACAAACATCCTTCCACCACATGGTTAAATTCTAAAACGATTACATTGTATATTTCGTCTTTCAGATTGTGAAAATTATGATAATTCAACATGTGTCAAAAGTTCAGGAGGAGGATGAAAATATTTAGAGGAAAAGAAAAATGAAAACCTACCAAGATTTTGTGACAGGTATATTTCAAAATATTATAGAAAATACAGTGATCTTATTACCCTTGATTTTATAATGAAATTCACGAAGCCATTTTTATCAAAATTAATAGATATATACAGTAGGTACACGAAACTACATGGTTTAAACTAAATTAAAAATAATAAGTATCTTTTTAAGTAGTTGGAGAGTTTTGTTAGAATTTCGTTTAATTATAATATGTATAAGTGATTTATTTCTTGCACTTGTAACTGATTTTTTTTTTAATTTCAGAAAGTGTGATGAGATCTCAGGTTGGAGACGGTAATGATACGCTTATAGTATGCCCCAGATCGACATAGTGTAGGAGGACGAAAGAAGCTAGAATACTAATGAAGATACATGAACATTGCTATTTATAGTT